TTTTTTTTTTTTTTTTAATTGATTTTGAGTGGTAAGCACTATGTATATCTGAATATGTGAGTCTGATTGAAATAATTTGAGGGAGGAAAAAAAAAAAAAGAGGCCCAAAAGGCTAAACAATACTTATTCTGAAGTTAGAGTAAGAACTACATATTTTAAATGCTCTATCTAAATTCTACCTCAGGTCATGTGATATTTTTTCTGGAACTTTGCAGATTATTTGAAGGTAACAAGACTAGCAGAACAGCAAAAAAGAATTAAATCTTCATAGAAAAGTTACTGTTTGACTTGAGCATACTGTACCTTAAAATCACATCATTTATGTGTATATATTTACCTAATTTTCTTTTGAGAAGGTACATGTTCATTATTTCCCTTTTACCTATAAGTATTCTGTTCAGTTTTAAAACAAAACCAAACAAAAGCCTGAAAAAAAGAAGAATATGTTAGCCTCTATGGTCATTACTGTTTTGTTGTATTGTAGAAAAACTAGGATTTGTAAAATAACACCAGCATGGTTCTTGCATAGTATTTCTGTCCCAGCTAACAAAAGGAAGTCAGAAATCTCACAGGACACCATCATCTGTCAGGTCCTATTGCTGCTCAACAAAGAATAAATAAGAGGAACTACTTGAGGTGTTCAGACCAAAAATGTTTTCTATGTTTTCTGATGAGATTTGCTTCCATACTTAACTATGCACAAGAACAAAGCCTGAAAGTAGAGATAAATAGTTACAAATATTAAAGACGAGAATTTCTTAGCAACAATTTGACAATTGATAGAAGAAGAGGAAATCTGCGTTTTAAATTGCTACAAAGAAACGCCATGCTATGTGCTTCCGGGGCCTTTTTGTGGTACTCTTCTGGATTTAGATTTTATAGAGTAGACTTAGTACCATTTTCTAGCAAGCCAAAAACAAGAGTGAGAGGGTGGGGCAAATGGGCAAATGCTGCCATCTTCTGGCCGCCGCCCGGTTGATAGACTATGGACAAACCTTTAACTGTGGTGAAAAGCATCATTTGAAACACAAATAATTTTTGCAATATTTTTAACAGGAGTGTGATCAAGTTCATATAGATGATGTTTCCTCCGATGATAATGGCCAGGACTTGAGGTAAGCCATGCGTTTTAGTATGCTGTTTCCTACAGAAATTCAGTGATGGAGTTGTGCACATGTAATTATTTCTTTTATTTCTTTTTAATGTATTTTGGGTGTTGCAGTACCTACAGTTTTGCAACTGATGGCTTCCATGCAGCTGCAAGTAGTGCAAACCTTTGTTTGCCAACAGGTGTAAGAGGAGGGGTTGACTGGATGAGGAAGTTGGCTTTTCGTTACAGAAGAGTAAAAGAATTATATAACACCTACAAGAACAATGTTGGAGGTATGTGTGGCTTGGTAAATCTCAAGACGCTTTAGATGCAAGTCAAATTCAAACCGACTTTCCATGTTAGAGGCTATCTTACTGTAAAGGAAATCCCCAGAGCACATGCTGAATTATGTTAGTCTGGAATTTTATATTTTTTACAGCTGATGGGGGGGGGATGATATTAATGACAAAATAAAATATACAGCTCTGTCAAAAAAATAGGGAAATTTTGTGGGAAATTTTGTGTGCCCATATGTGTGGTCAAGATTTACAGTAGGGAATTGGTTTAAAGTTCTCCAGCTGATGTTTGGAATGTTATCAGTGAAAATCAGACAGAGGAACTGATTGAATCAGTAGGAAGGAGAGTGGCCTAAGAGGACAGCCCCAGTCATTGAAAGCAGAGTTGTTAGCAACCATTGCCTTTCTAGGATCCTATAAGAAATAAATGTGAAGAGTGATTAATGTCATTTTAAGGAGCTCTGGTGGTGCAATGGTTAAAGCATCTGGCTGCTAACCAAAAGGTCAGAGGTTTAAACCCACCAGCTGCTCTACAGGAGAAAGATGAGGGAATTGGCTTCTGTGAAAATTTACAATCTTAGAAACCCTATGGAGCAGTTACACTCTGTCCCTGGGGTGGGTCTGAGTTGGAATTGACTCTGTGGTAATGCTTTTCTTTTCTTAATGTCATTTTAAAGACTTTCAGCAAGCCTATTTTAACCTTTTGGAAAGTGCATGTTATCCAACTGTTTGTCTTTCCCATGTATAGTGTTAACTGTAATTATTATGGTTTTAAAAGTTCAAATACTCTCTAGGTTGTATCTGAACCACTTTATTCCTACCTATATGTCTATTACAGGTGACATCAAAACTGAGATCCTGTATGTGCTTCTTGATATAAGAAGCCTTAATGATCTCTATTATGCAGATCAGTTTTAGGTCACAGGACTCCTAAGATTAGAGACTAAGTTACATAAGATTCCTGTTCCAGGTTTTAAAATTTGTTTCTCTTTTTTAAAAAATGAAGAATGATTGTGGAACATAAACCAGAATCCAAAACTGAATGATACAGTTAAATATACCTGTTCATACTATACATATATATATAAATATATTGTTGTTGTTATGTGCCATGGAGGAGTCAGACCCGACTCATAGAGACCCCTCCTTGGGTTTCCAAGGCAGTATCACTATGGAAGTAGATTGCCCCATCTTCCTTCCGAGGAGTGGCCGATGGGTTTGAACCTCCAGCCTTCTGGTTAGCAGTCAAGTGCCTTAGCCACTATGCTACCAGAGCTCCCATATATATATATATATATATATATATATATACACACACACATATATGTTATAGAATATGGTATTTTTAAAAAATCTGCTTTTTTAGATCATAGATCACCAGCCCTTTCCTCTGAGGGACCTCTGGCTGGACTCAAGCTTGCAAACTTTCGGTTTAACCGTTTGTATCACCCAGAAAGTCTTGGATATAGTATAGTATAATAAGGTATTTATATGTTTTAAATATTTTATATATAAAAGCATATATCTTGTGAGTAGACATCCATCTCTGCTCACTTTCCCACTGCCTAGCATTGACACAATAAAAAAGGATCTAAAAGGCATAGAATTACAGACAATTTTAATATTTGAACCAAAAGGCAGATTAGATATTTTCTAGTGGAAAACATCATTTACAAATGAGAAATGGGCCTGTAAAAACTGCCACCTTGGCAGGATCCTAGGGGTACAACTGTGGTTTTCTAATTCATTCCAATCATCTGTTCAAGACATTTTGGTAAAATCAAATAAATAGATATTCTATCAATTGTGAGAAACCTGATTAACATTGAAAATATCTCCCTTTGGAAAAAATGAATTAATTTGTATCATTCTGATACATAATAACTTCCTTCTTACTGAATATTATTAAAGTTATTTCCAAATTAGTAAGGTTACCATGAAATAGTCATATCTTAAAACATTTAAACGTGAGTCTATTATCTGTAATTTGTGGGCATCTTTACTGATATGAGGACATGTGAGATTTGTCAGAAACTATAAATTTTGATAATTTTCCATATCTATATGTGTTCCCAGTATCCTAAAATATATTTAATTAAATTGGGGAAATTAAAAAAAAAAAAAAACCTCATTTTTAATGGCTTTACATTCTCTTCTTTGCACTCAGCTCCTAATGTGAAGGTTGGCAGTTCAAATCCAGCCAGCAGCACTGTGGAAGAAAAACTTGGCTGTCTGCTTCCACAAAGATTATATGCAGCCAAGGGGGCAGTTCTCCTCTGTAACACACAGGAATGCCATGCATCAGGGTTGATTTCAGTGGCAGTGGGTTTAGTTTTTGTGTTTTCTTCTTGTCATAAAAGCAAGATCTGCATCATTTTAAATTAAAAAAATTAGTATGCCAACTTTGTATCATAACAACATTGTCTCTATGTCATATGCTTTAGGATTATAAACATAATGCTTGCCTTCCTTTTACAAAAGGAGATTTTATGGTTTGTAATAACGTTTGCAGTAGTATTAGAAACACTCTATTAGCTATGACCAGTATTGCTATTTCAAAGTGGATATGATTGTAATTAATAAGAAATTTTCAGGCAGCCATATTGTTTGAGGTTTGACTTCCTAGATCTGGTCGACTCTTGTTTCTCCTCTCGATTGCTCATATCACAGTCTCTTGGAGTGGGCCCTAGAGTTTTCAAAGAACTCCAGGTGATTGCTGTCTGCTGCATCAGACTCTAGATTCAGGGGCAGAGACTGTGACCCCCTTTTTCACTGTTATATCCTCAATTTTCAGCCTACAACCTGACACTTAGAAGTTGATCTGCAAATATCTGTTGACTGAATGAGTTATCAATTCTGAAATAACGAATCAGTATTGATATAAATCAATCTCTCTCTCCATTTCTGGTATAGATTGGAATAAAAATTATTTATAGTAGACATTAGGGAGACCAACCTAGATATCCCTGAAAACAAAGTGTCTCTTAACTCGGCTTTGCTTTTTGGTGTTGCAGGACTCCTTGGCCCTGCCAAGAGAGATGCATGGCTGCAGTTAAGGGCAGAGATTGAAGGGCTGACAGACTCCTGGCTAACAAATGCACTTAAGTCTTTATCTATTATTAGTACGAGGTAAGTGGTATTGTTACAGTTTCTATCTTTACTGTATTGAAGATGAAGTTCTAATAACACATATATAAAAGTGTTGTAATTGTATGAGGCAGTTTTAGAGTTTGAAGAGCTAACAATTCACTGATTCCAGTAATGAATTTCAATCTCAATATTTGTGTGTTTGTGTGTGTGTGTGTGTGTGTGTGTGTTTAGGGGGAGGGTTGCAGCTTCTTAGAATAACTAGGGGATTCCATTTCTCCACCCTTATGTTCTAGTTATGCAGTGGTTAAGGCATTTGACTGCTAACCAAAAGATCAGCAGCTTGAACCCAACAGCCATTCTATGGGAGAAAATTGAGGCAGTCTGCTTCCAATAATAATTATAGCCTTGGAAACCCTGTAGGGGTCACTATTACTTGGAATCAAATTGATGGCAGTAGTTTTGGTTTCTTTATCTCCTCATAACTCCACAGAAAGATCAAGTCACTTCTGGTGGAATAAAAAAGCATTCTATTAGTGACAAAGTACAAGGGATGATGAAAAAAAAAATGTTATTTATATAATAAAGGCATGTTTTAGGCTTTTTAGGTTATAATAGAAAATATACATAATTTCAATGTACCAAGAAGGTAAGTGATAACCCTAGAAAAAATGTAAACCTCTTTGTTGTTTGAACTAAACAGTGAAATTCTGACTTACCATGTAGATAATAGAATTAAATATATTATAACAAGTTAATGACCATAAATGCTGATTAATAAAGTACTGTAAGTTTGAATCAGATCAACTACATCTGTGGAAAGAGGCAATACAGAGGCTGAGTATCAGCCAAAACAAGGCCGGGAGCTGACTGTGGAACAGACCATCAACTGCTCACATACAAGTTCAACTTGAAGATGAAGACAATTAAAGCAAATTAGAGCTATGAGAGCCAAAATATGACCTTGCTTATATCCCTCCTGAATTTAGAGACCATCTAAGGAATAGATTTGATGTATTGAACACCACTGACCGAAAGCCAGTAGGAATTGTGGGATGACAACAAGAATATCATCCATGAAGAAAGCAAAAGATCATTAAAAACAGAGGAAAGGAAGACCAAAATGGATGTCAGAAGAGACTCTGAAGCTTGCCCTTGAACAGAGTAGCTAAGCAAATGGAAGAAATGACAAGATAATAGAGCTGAACAGAAGATTTCAAAGAGCAGCTGGAGAAGACAAAGTCAATTATTATAATGAAATGTGCAAAGACCTGGAGTTAGAAAAGCAAAAGGGAGAACATGCTCAACATTTCTCAAGCTAAAAAAGTAAGGAAAAAATTTAAGGATTGAGTTGCAATATTGAGAGATTCTATGGGCAAAATACTGAATAATGCAAGAAGCATCAAAAAAAGGTGGAAGGAATACAGAGTCACTGTACCAAAAAGAGTTGGCCGATGCTCATCCATTTCAGGAGGTGGCATATGATCAAGAACCAATGGTATCGAGGGAAAAAGTGTAAGCTGCAATGAAGTAATTGGTGAACAAGGCCCCAGGAACTGATAGAATACCCATTGAGATGTTTCAACCAACAGGTGCTATGCTGGAGGCACTCATTCATCTATGCCAAGAAATTTGGAAGACAGCTATCTGGCCAACTGACTGGAAGAAATCATTATTGATGCCCATTCCAAAGAAAAGTGATTACACAGAATGTGGAAATTATCAAACAATATCATTAATACTGCAAGCATATAAAATCTTACTGAAGATAATTAAAACACAGTTGCAGCAATATATTGCCAGAGAACTTCCAGAAAATGCAAGCTGGATTCAGAAGAGAACATTGGAATGAGAGACATCATTTCTGATGTCAGATTGATCTTGGCTGAAAGGAAAGAATATCAGGAAGATGTGTATTTGTGTTTTATTGACTATGCCAATGCATTCAATGTGTGGATGATAACAAATTATGGATAACATCAAGGAGAATGGGAATTCCAGAACACTTACTTGTGCTCATGAGGAACCTGTACATAGACCAGGAGGCTATCGTTCAAAGAGAACAAAGGAATACTGCATGGTTTAAAATCAGGAAGGGAGTGTGTCAGGGTAGTATCCTTTCACCATACTTATTTAATCTGTATGCTGAGCAAATAATCAGAGAAGGTTGTCTATATGAGGAGGAGCATGGCATCAGGATTGGAGGAAGACTCGTTAACAACCTACGATATACAGATAATGCAACTTTGCTTGCTGAAAGTGAGGATGATTTGAAGCACTTACTAATGAAGATGAAAGACTACAGTCTGCAGTATGGATCACATCTCAACATAAAGAAAATGAAAATTCTCCCAACTGGGCCAACAAGCAGCATCATGATAAATGGAGAAAAGATTGATGTTGTCAAAGATTTCATATTGGTTCCACAATCAACACCAATGAAAACAGCACTCAAGGCATCAGATGATGTATTGCACTGGGCAAATGTGCTGCAAAACATCTCTTTCAAGTGCTGAAGAGCAAAGATGTCTCTTTGAAGATAAGGTGCACTTAACCAAGCTATGGCATTTTTAGTTGCCCCATAGGCATATGAGAACTGAACAATGAATGTTGTTGTTGTTATTATGTGCAGTCGAGTCAACCCCAACTTAAAGCAACCCCTCTTTGGGTTTCTGAGGTGGTATCACTACAGAAGTAGATTGCCCAACCTTCCTTCCATGAAGTGGCTGGTGGGTTTAAACCACTAGCCTTCTGGTTAGCAGTCAAGTGCCTTAGGCACTATGCTACCAGAGCTCCTAGACAACGAATAAGGAAGGCCAAAGAAGAGTTGATGCTTTTGAGTTATGGTGTTGGCAAAGAATACTGAATATACCATGGACTGCTAAAAGAACTAACAAATCTGTCCTGGAAGAAGTGCATCTGGAATGCTCCTTGGAAGCGAGAATGGCCAGACTTCGTCTGACCTACTTTGACCATGTTGTCAGAGGAGATCATTCCCTGGAGAATGATATCATGCTTGGTAAAGTGGAGGGTCAATGAAAAAGGGGAAGGCCATCAATGAGTTGGATGGACATAGTGACTGCAATGATGGGCTCTGGTATAGCAAATATTGTGAGGCTAGCATGGGACCAGGCAGTGTTTCGTTCTGTTGTATATAGGGTTGCTGTGAGTTGGAGCTGAGTTGATGGCATCTGACAACAACAACAAGTTGGAAAGGGATAGGTAGTGGAGGTGGAGATGAGCCTTTGCACTGTCTCAAGCCATTGTTTCATTTATGAGTTAGATGAATAATAAAGTTGTGGGTAACACAAAATTAAAAGTAAGAGATAATATTTGGACAGACTGGATTAGAATACAGACAGATCTTAGCAGGGTAAAAGGACAGTCTAATATTAATAACATGGAAGTAAATGATGTGTATCAAATCTTACAGAGCGGCAGCTACAATGATAGCAGAATGTCTAAGGGAACAAGAGAGGGCAAAGCTTCTCTGTGCCTGACTTGAAGGGCCACAGCAAAGTACTTTGCTCAGTTCTGGGCACCACATTCAAATAGAGGCAACGATAAAGTTGAAACACCCAGTGTCCAGTGATTTGACCAGAGAGGTTTACAGGATGTGGAAACCACATTAAAGAAACAGTTGGAGAAAGGAACCGTGGAGTTTAATCTGAAGAAGGGTTAGGTGTGGAACAAAATGACCAATTCTACAAATAAATTAGATTTCTGTTCGTATCTGTAAAGGGAAGAATTAGGAACAATGAGTAGGCATCCTAGGAAGGTGCACATTTTGCTCCATGTATGAAGAATTGTCTAATAAAGTTAGTTGAAAACACAACATGCTCCCCATGCTCCCTTGTGATCTCTGTAACTAATGGCCTGGGGACCAAAATCATGGGAACTGGGACACGAGGACTCCTGAGCTGCCGAAATTGTGGGCAAATATAGAAGAGCACATGTCTCTCTGAGGAAGAGGTTCACAGCTTTCATTATTTCTGAAAGATGTTTCTCATTGTTAAAAACTAAAGGATTGGAGGTTTAAACAGATAACCTTCATGTATTTAATTACAAGGATACGTGATTTTAAGAAATAAATGTAAGTATTACAAGGGAAGGAGAAAAAGAAGTCAATCCTCACTGAACTCTTATGTGTCATATAACCTAAGTTAGTCCCATATGCTATGTTACTGGGAGTTTCACAAAATCCTTGAAAAGTCAGAATAACTAGAGGCTTATAAAAAATTGCTGAAGTGTATATCAGAGCCTTTAGAAAAGTTTATGTCCTTTGAGCTTAATTCTTCTTTTGTGACTATGGTCTAAGAATGTAATCAAAGGTGTAGGAAAAAATATGTTAAGTAGAATTATTTATAACACTGAGAAATTGGAACAATGTAAGTGTGTAAGCTTAAATTCAAAAAATTATGGTACATCCACATGGTGGAGTAGTTTGCACACATTATGTTTTATTGTGGGAAGAATAATAGGCCATGCAATTCAAATGAATAGTCTCCTGATATAAATAGATAAAACAAGTAGAATATAAAATTGTGTATGCAATAGAGTCCCAATAGGAAAAAATATATATACACAGACAGAAATATGCAAAGTAGGTAGATCAGTTATCTCTGGATGGTTATATACTGGATTGTTTTCCTTTTCTTCTTTCTGTTTGTCTGTATCATACACACTTTCTATTATAAATATGTGCTTCATTTGTGCTATAAAAGGAAATGATGTAACTCTGAAATCATGTAGTGTAAATGATGAAACTGTATTTCCAAACCAAATCTCAACACTTAAAAAGCCTATGGTTTATTTTATCCCACCATATTTTTGTTCAGTAACATTGATCTCCAAATGATTTTGGATTAAATCATGTTTTGACAAATTCTTTGTACAACTTTTAAGTGCCACAATGTAGTAATGTGTTTGTGTAGTATGCTTAATAATCTCTCTGCCTTTATTTGGGGAGTTTCTTTGTGCCACAGACAAGTTACTTTTGTTTATTTCTTCATCACTCAAATGAAGGGTTGTATTGGTATCTATTACATTTTGGCCTCTAAACATCTGCATTTCTTTATCTCATAAAATTGATAACTTTATCACTTGCTTCCAGGAGTCAACCTCCTATTCATAGCCAGACATCAACAGAGATAATTTAGAAATGATGTTTTCAGAGGCTAGTTTGAAATTGTTTCGAATAAAGTATAGCTTTTCCCTACAAATGATTGATTCAAAGAAAATAAAACATAACATTATGTCTACTTGGGAGTAAGCATATGCAAACCCATGAAAAGTAGCATTCACCATGCTCTCTAAATTGACATTGAGATCCACATGAGAAAAGGCTTACCAATCTGCTTCTGTAAAGATCACAGCCTGGGAAACCCTATGAGGCAGTTCTGCTCTGCCCTAGAGGGTACTATGAGTTGGAATTGACTTCACAGTATACAACAACAACACTGAAAGGTTAGATTACCAGAAGCTCTTATTATGAATTGAGAGATCACAGTGACAATTTAAAATCTATTCTATTAGCACTTATTTATTATTAGAGAACAAATATGTGTATTTCCTCCCTATGGCAGGAGTAACTGCGTGAATGTCTTGGTAACGACAACCCAACTGATCCCAGCACTTGCAAAGGTTCTACTCTATAGTCTAGGAGGTGCTTTCCCCATTGAGAATATTTACAGTGCAACCAAAATAGGTAAGAAAATTATTTTAAACTCTGTGTTTTGAGGGGTTTATTTGAGTATATGTCTCTGCATGATCCTCTTTTTCATCAAATTTGCTATTTGAGCATCAGGGAAATTTAGAAAGACCCCAAATAACAAAGTCCTTGTAACTTACTGTGCATGTGTAAATTTTATGACAACTTTTAGCTAATGAAATTCTGAAGTTAATATCTGAATAGTTCTGACTCATTCTTTATATTTCTTAGAATAATAAGTCATATGTTATCTAAATAATATATAATGTCTCTAGCCACAGTATTTAATATTTTTGTATATATAATATTATATCGTACATATACAGTAAACTAGATCCAAGATAAAAATACTATTTTGGCATTACAGGAGAGTCCCACATTTTTGAACTAGTGTTGTTTACTCCAGGAAAAAAAAAATAGCATTTGATAAATCAGAAAACATAACTGGAATTTTCATATCACATGAGTGGCTGGAAATCCACATTGTGCAATGTGCAGTGGCAATCAAACAACAGCCGTGTGTTTTGAATGTTTATCTGTGTAGCCATCATTGACTTTAAGTACATTTCACAGACTAAGATTTCTAATAAACTTTCAAAAACCACAACTTCATCAACTTTGGCCATCTTGAAAGAAAGAAAACAGCTCATGTATTCCACTGTCTGCCCAAGACATGCCTGGGGAAATGGATGAGCTGTGTAATGTGCCCTGAAGGTCAGCAAACTTTGGCTCTGGCACCTTGACAAGAGCAGTGCAAAATCCTAAAATCCCCACCAAAAATAACCTGCCCTGGGCCTCACAAAAGTCTGATACTGGCACTGGCAGACGGAGCCCCCACTTGCAGCTGTTTTAGGAGTACAGTTAAAGAGAGCCAGGCATTCATAAAGTAAATTCCATGTTGTCACAAACACAACAGTTCAGAGCCTCAATGGCCAATCCCACAGATTTTTTACATAAACACATGTATTTGTGCTAACAGCATTTATATACAGGAAAATTTGGTTTTGCCTTTGACAAATCAACTAATTCTGTACCAGTATAAGCATATCTTTGAAAATGAATGATATTCCTTTTTTTATGGGCCAAATGGTCTGTTATATATAATCTGAAAAAAAAAAAAAAAAACATTTTTGTTTTTCTCTTTGGGCTAGTTTGTTTGGTGTTCTGAACTATCAGATTGAGAAAAACTGAAAAAGTAGCCATGACTGCTTGAACATTATGGGAATGAAGTTCAAAAAACACCGGTGTTTGTAGACAAAGAACATGTAGCAATTCCATGGTGGTATTCTTGTACAGTGATCAGAGGATGGTAGTGTTATCCATGCTGTGGCCCAATCAGACAGCACTCTTAGTTCCATGAATCTGCGCAGACTAGCTCTCATACACTTGAAGAAAGGAGTTGTTTATCAAGGTAATTCCACTTTTCTTTATAGGTGAATCTTCAGTTTTTCACAATCATGTGTTAAGCTGATTTGTCTATAGGACTTAAAATAAATTAAATAAAATTGACATAAAGCATTTCATAAACAGATGCTATTAAAATTTAGAGTTGCTTTTAAAATGGTTCAGAAATTCTTTTGGTGGAGTACACATATTAACTTTTTTCTTTGCATCAAATGCTTAACCCTACAGACTTTTTCAGAGTGTAAAACACATTTGCTCAATTGTCTGTCCTAAGTAAAAACTTAATGTTATTTGAACATGTTTGTTGATTTCATAAACCCAGAATTTGTAAGCTGGTTCAAGTGATGTTCAAGAGAAATTAACTTAACACTTTATAAATCTTCAGGTTACTGAATGCAATGGCTGGAAGAATAAGCAGTGCATTGTTTTTCAGGCAAGGAAAGCTGTTTTGAGCGTATAGTGTCCAGATTTGGCACTAACATAACTTATGTTGTGATTGGAGATGGCCGAGATGAGGAACATGCCGCTAACCAGGTAACTTCACTCTGAACTGTATCTCATTTATCTTCCAGGAAAAGAAAGTTGCTTTGAACGAATAATGCAAAGGTTTGGCAGAAAAGTAGTATATGTTGTAATTGGGGATGGTGTAGAAGAAGAACAGGCAGCAAAAAAGGTAACCTGTCTCAAATAATGTTGGTGTGATAACTCCTAATGCAAGCCGTTTTGTTTGCATTCCTGTAGTTTGGCCCAGTGGCAGCTTGACAAATGATTTAAATACAATGTAACGAGAGCATGAGAAGGTCAATACTTACATTCAAATAAACCATTTGGAGTCTAGCATTTTTTTTGCCTAAACTTTGATAGGAAATACAAGAAAATTTAATTACATTATTGTGTGTATGTAAATATGTATGTGTATGTATACATAGATGATCATCAATGAATCACCTACCTCTGCATGTTATATAACAAGATGTAGCCAAGATGGTGCATAACATGAAGATATAGGTGATCCATAGATGATGTGAATGTCCCAATTCTTACCCTTTTCCTCATCCATTCACTTTATACTACATGGTCTTGGGACTGGATGAAAGTAAGTATTCATAAGGGTAGCATGAGGGTAGATTTAATAGCTGAAGTAAAAACAGTGGTGAGAAATTAAGAAAACGTTATTGGGCTAGGATGTACTAGTCATATCATTTTGTGCCAACTTGTCCTTGAGACTTAGGGGCAGCATGTCTCTACCTTCTGTAAGAGTGTCTTCTGTTTTGGTGAGCCATCAGTATTTGATTGAAGCCAAGCAGATGGCCTTGAACGCTTTGGAAAGATAGGCCTTGGGTATTTAAATAAGGCTTTGCATCTGGCCTATATTTCTGAATAGGGGCTCTGGTAGCATAGTGCCTAAGGCACTTGCCTGCTAACCAGAAGGCTAGTGGTTCAAACCCACCAGCCACTCCTTGGAAGAAAGGTTGGACAATCTATTTCCATTGGTACCACCTTGGAAACCCAAGGAGGGGTCGTTATGAGTCAGGCCTGACTTGACGGCACACAACAACAACAACAACATATTTCTGAATAAGAAACCAAGGCAATTAATAATCATGAAATGATTAGCTCAAGATCAAAGGAAGAATGATTTGAGGACTGATCCCAGACACCAAACTATCAGTCAGCACCACACTGAGCTCTATAGCTTCCTTCACTGAATCACAGCAAAACATTGTGTAGCCAAGGTAAAAACAGCCGAATTTATAAGACAAAGCAAACTAATAATTTCTTAAACAATGACCTATCAGCCATTAATATTTTACATAGAAAGATATTTCTCCATATTCTTCTAAGGAGATTTCAAACCATCATCTAATAAAGCCTTCATTGAACACTTACATGTGCAAGAGTGTTTACCTGATTTCTCTTTTGCATAAAATTATCCAAATAAATCGTTCTCGGGAGAAGTTTATGGACATAATAGAAGGAGAAAGGAAATGATTATATTCCTAGTCAGTTCAAATCAAGCAAAAAGGAGGAAGAGAAACCACTGCCACTTTAGAAAGCTTGAGAACAGTGTTGGCTGCCATACTTGAAATTCCCCATGTTTTTTTTATAACATCAAGCAACCTGGTGCAAGCTCTGCCTCCCACAGAACACCTGGGTCTTAATTAGCAATGTCAATGACCCAAGACAGAACACCAGACCAAGGATGTTGTTCTCTATGAGGTCAGGGAATATAGCCTCTATGAGGTGAAGGAATACAACTTTCATCGCCAACTACTACTTGAAATGCTTCCAGTCACACACCATTGAAATCTCTTCTGGAGTTTGTCAATGTCCTGCATCCATTTTGTTTTGATTTTTCACATTGCCACCATTATTATGTACAACAAATAACAGTAAATGATGCAGCCACTGAAGGGAACAGTTTACATGTCTTTCAGCCTATGCAAAATTCACATAGGTCCAGGGTAATAAAATTTACTTTTCCAAACCAGAACTACTATATTCCCTTGAAAATTAAAACTTACAAAGTCTACTCCAATTGTCCATGCTGTGAAAGGTAAACTTGATGTAGGCCAATTGTTATACCTTCTACTTTACACCTAAAATTTCAGGAGTAAAGGGCATGACTCCGAGTGAGGACTTTGGTTAGAATGCTACTTCCAAATGGTTGTTTATGTAGGTACGGTTTCGGTGATGGTGAAGCTTCTAGTACTATTTTGAAACGTCGGTGATTGGTTTCTCTAGTACCCAAAATGCATGCTTTTCTTTGGATTAGTTATAATTGCATGTGCAGAAATATTAAGTACTATTTGGTTATTGCAAATAGATCTGAGCTGAATGAAAAAAAAAAAAGTAACTTCTCATTTTTTGTGCTTTAATTTGATCTAAAAATACTTTGTTTTGGGAATTTAAGAAAAAAAAAAATCTCCAAGTTTAGGGGCAATAATATGCAACAGCTCTCCTGTAGAAATATATAAAGGGAGCCACCTATGTAATTCTAAATTTTCTAAAAGCCATAAAAGTAAAACAAGAGTCAAGTAAAATAAATGTTAATAAAATATTTTAACTAACCCAATATATCGAAAGGAGCTCTGGTGGTGTAGTGCCTAAGGCATTTGACTGATAGCCAGAAGGCTGGTGATTCAAACCTACCAGCAACTCCTTGGAAGGAAGATTGGGCAATCTACCAAGGAGGGGTTGCTATGAGTCGGAACCGACTCGACGGCAGTGAGTTTTTGTTGTTATTATTGTTTGTTTGTTAATACATCCAAAATATCATTGCCTCAATAGCTAATCAATATAACAATTACTAATTGCTATTTCATGCCTTTTTTTTCCTATTCTCATTCTCTTTAAATTCAGTATGTATTTGACACTGAATTAACCACATTTCAAGTGCTCAGTAGCCATGTGGTTAGTGGCTACCATACTGGACAGCACAGAATTTTATAAGAGTAATGATTAAAATTATGCCTAATAAAATTCTTTACCATGACATGTGTGTGTGTGTGTGTGTGTATAGATATTCCCATTATAGATAGATATATGAATATATATTCCACACATACATATTTTAGAAGGCGTCAGTGGTCCAAACTTACAAATAATATTTTTGTTTTTGTCAATTGCTATAGCATAGTGTTCCTTTTTTTGTCCCTGCATTATTATCTCCCAAGGGAATCCTTTTAGTCTTTTTCCCCTAAAAAGTCTTTTTTCCCTAAAAAGCCCTCTTTCCCTAGTTTTTTCTCCTCTGTGAAATTTTAATACTCCATATATGTTGTTGTATAGAATCCCTAGTGATGCAAACATCTAATGTGCTGAGCTGCTAACCAAAAGCTAAGAGGGCAAGTCCACTCACAGGTACCTAGGAAGAAAGATTTGGCAGTCTACTTGCAAAATCTCAGCCATTGAAAACCTATGCAGCACCGTTCTGCTCTGACATAGATAGTATTGCCATGAGTCTGAATGGACTTTTTTTTTTTTTTTTTAATACATACCTTCTGATACATGAGTCAGAGTCCCCTCAACAGCAATGGCTATATAGCGGTACGTTTGGATAGTTGAAGGATCACAAACCATTGTAATGTATAAGGTTTTTTCTTTCCCCAAGAATTCATTTTTGCCCCCATGGAGAATGCATGCTAGAGTGCTTTTCTTCATCCTGACACCAGAGAAATAAATCCTATCAACTCTACTAACTTAAATTATTAGTTACCCTCAGACAACTAAGAAAATTGATTAGCCTGCATTTTTTCCTACATTATATTGTCTAGCTTCAAATTTTTTCATAGAAAGTAATTCACCTTCTTTTCCTCTCAAGTAGACAAAAGACTTGGGATTATGATGTTTATGGTTTGTTGTTTTTTTTTTTTTTTTTATTTTGGTTTTACATGAGAGATGGACCTTTAGAAGGGATACAGTTATTAAAATTTTCTTTCCATCAGACAAGTAGGATTCTCATGCCCAGCTTGCTTTCCCAGATATTGATGTTGGCAATACCACTTTCCAAAATCAATATAAGCTACTTTAGAAATGTCAACATTTGTTTTAATCATCATTAAAATCCAGTTCAGATCTATTTCTTTATGATTTTGAACATGCTCTATTGATGCTTCCAAGCCTTCAAATGTCATCATCCCTCCACTAAACTCCCTCCCTTGAACTTGGGTGGTCTACACACTCCTGTGTATACTGCTGCTTTGTTGACACAATAGTTATGATCTCTCTCTCCATCCCTCCCTCTTCTCTCTCTCGTTCCTCCATCTTTTAACCACACAGCACAACATGCCCTTTTGGAGGATATCAAGTCATTCAGACCTCTTGGCTCTACATCAAGCACTGGAATTAGAATATTTGTAACTGTGTTCTCCAGCTGGAGATCTGTTTTTTTTATATTTCAAGTACACTGAATTTTTATGTGTGATTCATCCCTCTGGCTTTACACATATAAATTGTCTTAAAGGATGAAATCATATTTGGAATGAAAATTCCACAATGAAAAATTCAGATTGCTGAATGGAATTAAACTTTAGTGCTACAGAAAGGAAGCTCTATGGTCTTACATTTACAACATTTTAATGAGTTTAAGATAATAATAATAATCTGTGGAGGTTGCTGGTACACACCAAATGAATCCTAACTGGAATTTACAGCTTTAGCAAAGAACTCTTACCCTGGCAAAGCACCAATACACAGGCTCCGTCTGACAAGGTGGTGTTCAACAACATTCCTCAATATGGGATCGCTTCTCGGCCCTGAGGTTTGAATCTGACTTTAGCCTACCTAACCCAGAAAATCTGAATTGGAATGCACTCAGACTGTATAAGGACAGTCCTATCTAGACCTGTAATTTGTGTAAATTATTGATGAAAATAATTTACTGTGACTTTATTAGCAGCTGACTTTGAAGGTGGATGCAATTTTTTCTTTCATTTTGGGGGGAGGGGCAAGGGAGGGAGAATGGGAATATAATATTGTTTCTTTTTTTAAGTTTGGCAAACAGAATGTTCATACTGATGTGCTGTGCCTTAAATACAAGACAGCGTTTGTGTGTTACAATGTAACTTTGGTTGACAATCTCTGTAGATAATGAAAAACAAAAACCTTTGAGATCATTCTTCACATGACCAAATTTTAAAAACAAGCTATCAAAGCTTAACATTGCATCAGCAAGAAACAGGATTTGCTACAATAAGAAAATAATAATAATAATAATAATAGTAAAGGAAAGCTTGTGTTTTTATTTGGGTTCTTAATAATTCCAATAATTTGTATGAGGCAACTATTTGTGCAGAAGGTTTGGGCAAGACTGTGGGACCTTTACTTTGAAAGTGAAATGTGTGTTGAAGTCTTGAGGACCCTTTCTACAGTTTTACTGGAGAAAACTAAGAGCCATATTCATGACGACTTGCACTGTTTTGAGGTTTAGACTTTTTGATGTGTGTAACTTGCATAGAGGAGAATATTCTCATGCAAATCATAAAAAATTAACACTCAGACTTTCAGAGAAATGTGTATGGAATAAACATGGCTTAAAATAGGCATATTTTTCCCTAATATACCATTAGTGAAAATGAGATGTCATCAGTAGTTGAAGGCTGATGCCCCAGATGGCTTTCTAAGGAAAATGAATCCATGGAAATATTACCTAGAATATCATCATAAGATGAATTAGCAAGTGAGCCAAATCTTGGCTGCATTACTGAAATCACTAGAGTAAAATAGTACCTGGTTCTCTGTTTTAACACATCAATCCAGTTTCTCTCCATTACAGACAAGCAGATGTTAGTTTCTGCCTATATGGATACTACACAATTGACTGCATTCATTGCAAGGAATACTTGTCATCGTGGGTTTGCATGTTTTGTTTTGTTTTTCTTCTTGGTGTGTAGCCCATGTTAGGAACACGATACAAGTTCTACCAACATTTTTTATGACATGATTTCCCTTGTGGAAATGTAAGGCTTCAAGATCTAGGAGTGTTTTACTGGTATCTGTACCTGCAGTTCTGTGTTTAAAATGTCATAATTTGGAACCTGGAATCCAGCTATTGGGCAGTGTCTGTAATGGGAGAATGGTCCATGATAGCTCATCGGCTGCAGCTTCTGTGACTTCAGCGAGGCCCATGCTTCGCACACTGATCACTAGAATCACTATAGAAATGTGATTTTATTTTTCTAGGCTGTACAACCTATGTTTCTTTACTGGAAGCTAATGCCATGTTTACAGGGTTAGAAAGTGACTGAGATTCCCAATTTTGCATAAGATTGTGATTTAATCATATAAACCTTAAACTTACTCTTTAAGTTTTATAGCTTTTGGCCTGCTGTTGCAGACAAAGTAAGATGGGCTACTTTTAATAGTCATAATTTTCAAAGCATTGTACTTCTTTTGGCCCTCAGCTTGAAAATAACCATTTAAAAATTAAAGAGTTGCATTGATAACTAGTACTTAATTATTTTGTGCACTAAAACCTTGAATATTGATTGCTGTGAATAAAACAAAATTATCTTTACTGTAAAGCCAGTTTATTTAAAGGTAGTGTGACATCTGAATTTTTTATTCTTTTTCATATGAAACAAGCAGTGCTTCTTATGTTGCTAAACTTGGCAGGTGCAAAAGGGACACCCCTTCTAAAAGCAGACAAGTGCAACTGGTTGCATCACCCAGTACTATTTCTCACACACATCTTTTTCCTGATTATTTGTTCAAAAGAGGCTGCCAGCATACTAACTGCCAGGTTGACGGAGAATGGTGTCTCTGGTACAGCAGGGGGTGCAGGCCGACAAACCAGCATCACAGCCGGGCCTTGGGATCTTGAGCGTGTGCAAACTCTATCTCCTCCCTTCCACCTTAGGAGCAGGAAGTACTCTTCCTTTCTGATCTGCAATGAATAAATAACAACAACAAAAACACCACCTTCAGCAATTTCCGTATTCTATTTGCAGATAGAATATTGTGCTTTATTGTAAACCAGTTTGACAAATATTCTGGAACTAAAATGGAGTTTTGGTTACTGTGCAAGCAATATATTACTGAGACGATAACCACCTCATGTTGCACCTCAAAAATATCAAGACCATGTGATTTCATAACAAAATAGGCAGCATGTACCTTATAAGGTGAAATCACTATACTCCTGCAGAAATTATAAATCAAATTCAGAAGCAAAATAAATAATAAAATCAAGTAGTTTGCACACAAAAGGTAGGTAGTAACGGTCTCTAAGAATTTACTTTTTTTCCTTAGTCTCTGATGACCTAAGATTGAAGATAGTGTCAACAACATGCTCTAGTATGAAGTTGTTTTTCTAAAGCACATTTGATTTTGAAACCTACATTCTCAGTGAATATGGCATTTAGTATTTCTTTTAAAAACAAACTTAAGCATCATGAGCCAAAGTTGCATTTTGACTCCCAACTATTGTAGCATTATGGAAATATCACAGTGAAAGTCAAGGATTTCTGTCATGTATTAGTGAGGTATAGTTTGTCGGGGCCTACATAATTTAAAGAAATGTAAATTAATATTAAAAGCTTGTAAAAATATGTACATCTTTACTGTTTCTCAATAAATACCTTTGGAAATGTTTTCATTTTCTCCACCCTCCCATGTTGTTGAGTTTTTGTTAATAGATTTTTAGCTTGGTTTTAAGTAATGTGAAATTTGTATTTGAGTTCCTTGGTATATTCTAACCTTCCCTTCTTTGCACCTAAGGTGCACAATTTACAGTTAAAGAAAACCAACAACACATTAAAATGTCACTAATTAAGTCCACAATGTGGGCTGGTTTACTGAAAAGATGTGAGTTGCATAGTTTTTTTTACACATAGGGAACTGCACTCAAGTACATAATGTACCCGGAATTGATTAATGATAAAGTAATATCTATTTGAATATTTAAATCAAGTTCCCTTTGGGTGAATATGAGGTATGGTTTATTAGTAACTTCCAAGAAGCTAAAGGTGGAGTGTTTTTCTGAAAAAGGTTGAATAGCCCCTTTGTTCTCTAGTGTTATACTATTGCTTTATTTGCAAATCTGTTACTCATATGGAACAAAAGGCAAATTTCAAACCAACTTCTGATCATTCACAATTTTTAAAAATGTTAGCCTCCACATGAATGAGATTCAAGTGGAATTACGTGGGAATACACTGATGCACTATATGCCGATCTGTTATGACATAAGGGAATAAATGGATATGTTTCAAATAACTTGAATATGCAAACTTCCTTTCTGTTCCCTCAAATCCAGTTAGAGAAAGACTTCCCTGTATGTATCATCATTCACACCTCTCCCCTGAACTCCAGACAAGTATATCCTATTTACCTGTTCAGTGTATCTACTTGGATCTGAGAATTCTCACATCATGTCCAAGACTGAGCTTGTGCTTCAACCTCAACCACTTCTCACCTCTCCCCATACTACCGCTCAGGTCATGTTGTTGTTGTTCTTAGTTGCTGTCAAGTCTATTTCAACTCATGGTGGCCCCATATGTGCAGAGTAGAATTGTTCCACGGGTTTTCAAGGCTGTGGCCTTTCAGAATCAGATCACCAGGCCAGGTCCAAGGCACCACTGGGTGGGTTTGAACCACCAACGTTTTGGGTGGAAGTCAAGCACTTAACCATTTGTGCCACCCAGGGACTCCTTACCTACATCATAACCATCATCATTTCTCACATTAGCCTCTAGTCTAGTCTTCCTGTTTTGACCCTGACACCCTTCAGTATATTCTCATCACAGTTGCCAGAGTGATAAATCAGAGCATGTTCATCCCCTTCTGAGGATGCTCCAGCAGCTGGCTTCCCCTCTTACTCGGAGTATACACCATGGTCCTTATGTTCACCTGCAAGGCCCAACATGAACAATCCTGGTAAATTTTCCAACATCATGTTCTCCTACTAACTCCTTGACTTGCTTCTCACTTCTGTGTTCATGGCATTTACCTGGCACCATTGCTTTGCAGGAACTTTGCACTCATCGATCGTGCTTCCAGAGGTTTTCACCAGGTAACTGCATAGGTTTTGCCATCAGGTTCTTCCGATCTTTGCTCAAATGTCACCTCTCACTGAGATGTCCCTCTCTCTGAAATTGTATACGCTGTCCCAACACTCCTATACCTTCTCTGCTTTATTTTTTAATTCCTTAGATTTTTAATTATCCAACACGGTAAATATTTTTATTTGTCTTTTGTGTTTTATGACTCCCTCACTGGAAGGTAAGCTTTGTAAGAGCAGGGATTTTTGTTTTGTTTTGTTCATGTTCTTTATAACCAGATCTAGGAAAGTGCCTGGCACATAATAGTGCTAAAAAAATATATGTATTGAATGAGCCCATAGACCATGTTGTTGTTGTTAT